CCCCCCGCCATATGTATCTGAGTATCTCCTCCTCCTCCTCAGCCATATGTTCTTCTTCTTCTTCTTCTTCTTCGGTTGACTGTCTGTCTATGTGTCTGTCTGTCTGTCTGTCTGTCTGTCTGTTTGTCTGTCTGTCTGTCTCTCTGTCTGTCTGTTTGTTTGTCTGTCTTGCTCTCTCTATTTCTGTCTGTTTGTCTGTCTGTTTGTCTGTTTGTCTGTCTGTCTGTCTGTTTGTCTGTCTGTTGTTCTGCCTGTCTCTCTTGCTGTCTATCTGTCTGTCTGTCTGTCTGTCTGTCTGTTTGTCTGTCTGTCTGTCTTGCTGTCTGTCTGTTTGTCAGTCTGTTTGTCGGTCTGTCGTTCTGCTTGTCTGTCTGTCTGTCTGTTTGTCTGTGTGTGTGTGTCTATCTATCTGTCAGTTTCTCTGTCTGTCTATCTGTCTGTCTTTTTGTCTGTCTATCTGTCTGTTTGCATGTCTGTCTGTCTGTCTATGTGTTTCGTTGTCTGTATGTCTGTCTATCTGTCTGTCCTCCACCTCGCCCAACATGTAGCGATTTTTTTATTTTTTTTTCCCTTCTTCTGCTTCTTCGGCACAAGTTGCGATGACGTGACATATCGTCCACCTTCCGTTGTTGCTTGTTTATGCAGGACTAGCACTTGCCACGCCAGCAACTGTCACGTGAGCAGGTGCCATGTCAGCAGTTGCCACGTCATCGGCTGCCACGTCAGCAGCTGGCACCTCAACAACTGCCATGTCAGCAGCTCGCACATCAGTAATTGTCACGTATGTCCTTGGCACATCAGCAGCTGCCACGACAGGAGGCGCCACTTCAGTAGCATTCCCCCTCAACAGCTCACGCATAAGGACCTGCCGCATCAACAACTGGCACATCAGCACTTGCCGCGTGAACGGGTACCGCGCGTGTGGCACCATGGCCAGCACGAGCGCAGCTGCTGGAGGGGGTTCGCATCCGTCCACAGTCCCCTTCCGAGAGGACACAAACTACAAGGGCAAGCACGTTGTGTGGACCTGGGTGACTCCCGGCCAGCTTATACCGGGGAATGCTCGAGGGGCGAGGAAGCTTAAGTGCAACTTGTGCGGCCTTGAGTACACTGGGAATCAAAATCGGGCCGGCGTGCACTTCTATAAGAAGAGGCCCTCTGCTCGGTGTCCACATGCCAGCCTTGCGATCTGGAGGAGATTGCACAACGCCGACGCTCAGTTCCCACCGGACATTCTGGAGAGGGTGCAGCGCGCGATGGAGGAGAACCCCAACGGCGACGATGATGCCCATGCGGTGGAGGACATTGCAGGCAGCGGAGGTGAAGGACGCTGCGTCGGTGTGGAGGTTGAAGAGGCGGTTGGTGGGCATCCTCTTTCTGGAGGAGATAAGTGCACGAGGGGGGAGGTGACCGGTGGAGGCACTGCTGTTCGGACACCGGCTACCTCGAAGGTCGAGTGGTGGGCGGGCCGCACAACAGCGGTGGGCAGGCAAACGAGCATTGGTGAGGTATGCGAAGAACCCGAGGCAGGAGGCTATTGATGACTCCTACTGTGAGTTTTTCGTGGAGAATGCCATCCCATTCAACGTCACCAAAAGCAGGAGCTTCAAGATGTTCACTTTGGCGTGTTATGGGCTGCAACCTATGGCGAATCACCCCCGTGTGCCCAGAGGCTACAACCCGCTCAGATGCCAACTTCTCAATCGGTTGCGCGAGAGGTTGGAGAATGAGGAGCAGGTGATCCGGGACGATTGGGAAGTCACAGGCTGCACATTCATAACCGATGGCACCACAAACATTTGTGGGCGATCGCTTATGAACTTCATCCTTGCAGGGCGGTCGAAGACGGTTTTCATCAAGTGTGAGGATATGAGCGAGGGGGATAAGGACTTGGCTGCTATCGTTGCCAGTTGGAAGAGGTTCTTCAGGGAGTGGGGGGTGGACAAGATCACTGCCATCTGCGCAGATTCCTTCGCTGTGAATACAAGTGATGCAAGGATGTTGAGGGAGGATCCGGAGTTTGAGCAGATCTACCGGATTCCTTGCACGACTCACTGCATGGACCTGCTCATGCACGATATTTGCAAGCAGGAATGGGCCGATGACATCATCAAGAAGGCCAACAAGGTGGTGAACTTCTTCAGACTCCACAGGTGGCCACGATCCCAGTTGAGGATGCAGCTGTTGCAATCCCCGAAGTTGAATTGCACTTGCTTGCTTCGCCCTGCGCAAACAAGGTTTGGGACCCACTACGTCATGCTGCAGCGACTCGAGGTGTGCGCGAAGGCCATCACACGGATTGTGAACGGAGTCGCTTGGGAGAATACGGTGTGGTGAGGGGACATTAGGGAGAAGGCCTTCTTTGTGGAGGAAACTGTTCTTGACAGGGCCTTTTGGACTGATGTGAAAAAGTTGGCCGCCCTGATGAAGGGCCCCTATGACGTGTTGCGAGAGACGGACAAGGATGTTCACTGCCTCTCACGCATCTATGACATGGTCTGCCAGTTGCCGGTCTTCGTTTGTGCAGCCCGCCTCACGGAAGAGGAGCGAGACATCATCTTGACGGCGGTGGCGAACAGGACTGACATGTTGCTCAACCCCATTCATGCTATGGCCCAGTTGCTTGATCCTGTCTTGAGGGACATTGTTGTTTTCAGCAATGTGGAGCTCATGCCGCAATTTGAGAGCGTTGTCGATCGACTCATCGGGAAGAGGGGGAGCAAGAAGTTCACCGACCGTATGGACCAGTTGTACGATTTCCAGTTCGGGAACGGGGTGTTTGGCTCCGAGCGGGCAGTGCAGAGGGCCTCGAAGGACAACGCAGTGTTGTGGTGGGAGGCGCATGGGGCAGGGCATCCAAAGATTGAGGCCTTGACAATCAAGGTGCTCTCGATCTGGACGACTTCTTCTCCAGCTGAGAGGAATTGGAGCACTTGGGCTCTGGTGCAAACGAAGTCAAGGAAAAAATTGCATCATCAGCGCACCGAGAAACTGGTGTACTCGCACTGGAGCCTCAGGCTCAAGAACCAGGGGGGTGATGGCCCCGCTGTGGCAGGAGGGTGGTTGGGATTGGTAGTTGACTGGGCTGACGAGGATTTGGAGGGTGATCACGCGGGCATGACGGACGCCGTCGATGACGGTGAGGTTGCACATGACGGTACTCGTTCGGCTGCAGGCAGCACCAGCGTTCGCCGTGATCCCTTTATGCCTGGGACTTCGACATCTGCGGAGAGGTTAGGGGAGGTGGGGGAGGGTGTGGGTACAGAGGAGGTAGATGTTGACGAGGAGGAGGAGGATTTCGACGACGAGGATGACATTCCGGGAGAGGAGTGGGAGGATGAGAGGTCTGACTCGGATAGATCGTGGACGAGGAGGGAGGAGAAAATGCCATACATCCCGGGCACACGATCTGGATTGAGGTCGCAGAGTCGGCGACAAGAGGAAGAGCCGCGTCGACATCACGATGAGGATCGGGCGGATGATGAGCAGCGGGGAGGGGATGAGGAGGAGGAGGAGGAGCATCAGGGTGGGGACGAGGAGGAGGTCGAGGAGCAGCGGGGTGGGGATGAGCATGAGGAGGCACAGGGGGAGGCTGGCCAGCAGGTGCATGAGGGGCACAAGCCGGAGGCCCGCGCGGACGACACTCGCAGAGATGAGCAGCTGCACACTCCGTTGGAGGGTCACGCAGATGGGGAGCAAGAGGGCCAGGCAGAGGGTGAGCGGGCCAGCCAAGTGGTGCGCTCATTTTATGGTTCCGGTCGCCCGTCGCACCTAACCGGCCGCCTTGGAACACATCCCGGGTGCGTGTGGGATCCGCTCGCCTATCGTGCTGTGCGAGGCAAAGGACGACCGCCTTCCGGACGTGGTAGAGGGCGCTCCGATGCCAGAGGCCACTCCCATTGGGCTCCGTGAGGTAGAGGGCGAGGCAGAGGGCGAGGCAGAGGGCGGCCACGGAAGGAGAGACAGCCATCTCCAGATCCTCCGCCAGAGGGATCAGAGGATGACTCGCATGAGAGTGCACCTCTGCATAAGCCAAAGAAAAGGAGGACAGAGCCTGTTCAGGACAGGGACACACAGTGTGTATGTGTGTGTGTGTGTGTGTGTGTGTGTGTGTGTGTGTGTGTGTGTGTGTGTGTGTGTGTGTGTGTGTGTGTGAGAGAGAGAGAGAGAG